TTTTTTTTTACAAATCATAGAACACAGAAAACTTTTACTTTGGACACTTTTAAGTCCATACTGCTCATCATACTCTCATATTTAAGCATTTTTACATTGTTGTAATACTACTTTTACTACTTTTACCTAACCAAATACACACATATATAATAATAATATTACATTAAACAACAGCATTCTGTCCCATATTTCATCCTACAATTATTTAAGTTATTGACCAGTGTTGCTGTAGGACAGAATTTAAAAAGGTCACATTTTGAGTTCACCAACCTAATCTGAGTTTCTGTGTGAGCCAGCAGAGGATGAAGGTTAATCATTACAGTGAAAGCAAACGTCCATCCCTGCTGGCAGCACACTGACAATGTATCAGCTGTTAGTGAGCTTGGCTGTACAGTAGCCCCTCTCTTGTATCCTTGTTGAGCTCTGCTCTGCCACAGTGTAACCTATGATACCAACAAGGCCGAATAGTAAACACATGATCCAGAAAACTCACTTGATGTCTTCCCACACCTCCGGGCCGTAATTCCTTAACACCAGGAGCTCCAAGGCGTGATTGACAAACCCGTACTGTAAATATATGAGGGAAAAACAACGAGCAACCTGAATATTAAAGAAACAAGACAATTTTCCTGAAAACATACCTGGTGCCTAACTATGTATGCGTGTTTTTATGCGACATACTACATGCCCAGAACATATTGTAAGCTTAAAATACATGCGGATACATATTCTGTTCACCTGTTAATATACACAGTTCACTATAAATTGAAATTATTGTATAACAGCTACATAGCGGTCTTCCTAACAGGAAATGTATAACGCGTATACGCCATGTTGCGTGACAAACAGCCTATTTTACCAGCATTAAAACACAATACAACATCCTCATATACATACCATGATGAAAGCTGTTCTTCTTTTCCTTTATTTTTAAGCAACAACCGTTGAATCTGACACTACGTTCATCGTTTGGTACAGATGCTGAGTGTCTCTGCGTCCATTCCCCCTTTTTCCCTCAGCTAGTGACTGACAGCGAGTCTGTCCAATAGCAGACCAGAGAGGCTTTTACGTAGCCGTTCCTGGCCAATCAGAGCACAGCTAGGTAAACCTGAATTCACCGCAGGCAGCTGCGTTTCTGGTATTTAATATCATGTTTTACGCTTGACAACTTAATATTATCTGGTGTTATAGGATAGCTTCAAAAACTTAAAAAAAAGTAATTTATGATAAACTTAATTTCAAATGATATATCATATATTAGCTTTATTATATATTATAGGCTATATCTTGTCATCATTTGGTATTATGTTACCTTTACTTTAGTAAAAGCAGCAATTCCTGCATTCAAAATAGCATTTACTAAAATAAAAGTATTATCAGTCTCATCAAAATGTAGCCTACTGTAAGTATCAAAAGTAAACAAACTCAAATATAATGACTCCTTTCAGAAGGCAATATTTCTATATAGATACTGTTATTATTGCATTACTATTATTGAAAAAACATTTTTTTTGTAAAATCTTAATCTCCAAAGTAACAGTAACTATTAGCTGTCAGTTAATTGTATGTAGTAGATTAAAAAGTATAATATTTTACTCGCAAATGTTGTATAGTAAGTTAAATTATCATAAAATAAAAGTGCTAGTGTAATTACCTTAAAAATTACAATTACACATATAAGTACAGAACTTGAGTAAATGTACTTTCCACCATTACATATCACATCATGGTTTGTGTCAACAATACAATACAGTATTATATTCACTGTAGAGTCAATCACTTAAGTCTGTTAATGTCAATATTTATTGCGCCTTGGTTACATTACAATAATGATTAAAGCACATCATTATGAGTGACAGTAGAACATTCATTGTATTCTTGTTGTGCTGTATTCCTGCTATATAGTAAAGGAGTGCAATGAAACCAACCTAATAAATAGAGTATAAACATGTGTACAGTGGAAAAAAAGTAAAAAATACATGTACATTACTTATATTAGGAAAATGCGGTCTTGGAATGCTTTATCTCTAATAAATGGAAGTCTAAGTTACATTTTATTACAAATATATACTGAGTTGGAACCACAAACCTCTGGAAAAAATTACTGACATGTAAATTTATATTGATCCACCTCTAAAGAAAAAAAAGTAAATATAACTACATATCATTTATTTGAAACTCTAACATCTGTGATCCTGTCTGTATAGGTCCCATAAGGCCCCTGAATCTGCTTCCCTAAATCTTTTGAATAATTTTGTAATTTGCTTTAACTTTTCCAAATTATATGTTCACTCCACTGAAACACACAAAACCAATTTAGTTTTAATCTTAATTTCTTCCGCTGCAACAGGCCACGGTGCTTTAGCAGGTAGCTAGTCTGGAAAGATGTGAATGGACCAGTCAGATATTTACACAAAACCATCCTGATATAAGGAACCACTCTGTTTATCATATTGGGGATCAACATCCAAAATGTATTTCTGTATCATATCGACATTATGATGATATATTTAAATGTCTTTACAGCAAACCAGAAGCAACTTTTGACTTGTTTTGATAAAATGAGTGTATTTTGTACCTCTACAATGTTAAAATGAACAAAACAGTTTCCAATCCTTTCTTTGACAGCATACTGTATATATCTCTGGTGGGAGCTTGGAAAGAAACTTGTGTCATAAATTTGCACATGACTCATTCTGGAATAAAACAAATGGAGGATGTGAGTATGTATCTGCTACAACTATACAAATGGATAATTGTACAGAGACAAGACTCATGTTTGACAGCAAACTGACATCTCTGTCATTAAGCAGCTGCGAGACGTTTGACTGATAGACAATGTCATCAATATCTAAACAACCCAAATCAAAATACACAAGGTGTTCGCACTGTGTTCACTGGATACGTTTATGCTTCATCATATCTAATGTTTTCTGGGCTCTGCAGCAGCTTGACTTCATTTCAGAGTCAGTTGTGAAGTTTTGAAGGAGGCCTCCAAGAAGTAACAAACACCAGGGATGTCCTCTGGGAAGTTGGCCGGAAGCTCCTGTCTGCTCCTGGGAACGAAGACAAACTCTGGCCGATCCTTCAGCAATCTGGGACAAAGAGCACACAAATAAAACATGAATCTAAAAACAATGTGGCAAATTATTTGACACAAGAGGAAACACAGTGCTCTTCTAAAAGTTAAGTTTCCTGTCGAGAGCACTTTGTTTTTTTCTCTCTCTTCAGCGATACCATACAGTATTGGCTCAGTAAAATCTGACAAGTGTATATATAAAGTGGTTGACATTTACTTGTTTTTGTGTCTTTCTGAAAAATAAAATGTTTTAAAGGGACGTTAAGAGTTAGTATTGTAACTCTAATAGAAAATGCACAAATTATTTACAACCTGAATTGGCTATTACTTTACCTGTAGGTTGTAGGGCTGATGTTGATTTTTCTAGGTTCGCTGCACGATTCAAACTTGTTGGCCATTGTGACATTGTTCCCAAAAAGGCAGTAGCGTGGCATCCTCACCCCAACTACACCAGCCAGTACTGAACCAGTGTGGAGGCCTATACGCATCTGGAGAAAAAAACAACATTCAACATGATTCAGGCTTCTGCTTGTCTTCTTTTTGTCAATAGTACTGACAAAATACATGATTTATTCACTTTTAAAGGTACCCTGTGCAGTTTTTGGCCACTAGTAGCGCTATTAATAGTAATGTTTTTTTTTTTGAGTGAGTCCCTGTTTTGTTTGTATCATGCAAGCACATGGCAAGACACATATTCCTGCCTTCAGATTCCAGCCTCATCAGCAGTGGGTGGCAGTAACATGCAAACAAATGTAGCAATGTGCCAGCAAAGGCAGTGAAAAGACTACTAGCAAGTAAACATGGATGTACAGAAAAAAATTTTTAAAATCAGTTTGCAATGGTTTTATGAGGGAGAAAATGCACTTAAATTTTTTTGGTAAACCAACTCTGAATGTAAACAACTTTGAATCTGTCAGCTTCAGCAGTTACATACTTTTTTGATAAAACTTAATGATATATGTTTTCAATGTTGTCAGCAGCTAATATACAGTTACCACAGAATAATGATCAAAGCAACATCATGTAACTTTTCTACCATAAAAATAACAGCTCACTATCATTTTGATGGTACACTGAGTTGTAATAGGGTAAATGGTGCATTTGTCATTCCCATTCCCATATTAGCTGGCTTTCTGTGTCTTGTGTTGTTGCACTTGCTTGATGTTCAGCTGTGTGAGAAAAGTTGTTGAATCACTAGTTTTTGAAATCGTAAAAAATTTGTACAGCTGTTCATATTTACAACAGTGATATTGCCAAATCAGTAGCTCCAAATCATACATTACATTACATCAATTAAAATGGAGACTTGGGTGTTTTTAGTGGGATGCAGACAGAGCCATGTATCATTCAGAGTTTTTAAGGTTAATTTTGATATAAATATGATATACATATCTTAAAAATCGATTTTAGGAACAAAAAAACAAATTCCATGTATATGTCTATCATACATACATTATTACATGACGAAATATCTTGACAATTAACCACATACCTAAACCCTACACACCATACCTTCTTATGTCTCTGACATCATTTTATAGACATTTCCCATTTGCCATTTTTTTATGTTTAGATCAGTCCTGATAAAATGGCATTGATGTAGCTCCTAGTTTGCTAATGTTACACAAAGTATTTGTAACAATACAGTAACATGCTGGAGTATAATGAAGATGATTGATTTCTTGATTTATTCAAGACTTGCCTTGACTTGACATAACTGCTTTATTGGCAAAGTCCTTTGGGTGTCTTATAAGTTTGAGATAAACTTATAATGAACTTTACTTAAGTGTAGTGATCATTTTTTTTCAAATCATCAAGTTGCATAATGAGTATTACACCAAGCAATACTTGACACTCACCTGTATTGGTTCTCCAGTTGGCGTCATAACATAGTTTGAAAGCTCCATCATCTTTAAGGCCATAAGTGCTATTTGGACGGCGTGAGTCTCGCTCTCCTTGTGTAACCCACCAGCTACACAATACGCATCACCAATGGTCTCCACCTGGATACAGTAGATGAGCATTAAAATGATTTATAATCAGATTTCAACTGAGACAGAAGAACGGATTTGACAAGCTGTTTGTTCACCCTCCTACCCAAAGTCAAGGGCTTCCATTTCAGCAAATCTATATAGTATTTAAACTGGAAGTCTAAACTTTATTAAAAGTGCTGTGACAGTAAACTTTGAAGAAAGTGACAAATGTGAAGTGGATATTCATCAAAATGTCTTTACAATCTGACTTGCTCTCCATCTTACAGTAGATGACAGAGGGCAAGAAACTGAGGAGTAATAAAACTTAAATTGTAATAGTACTTGATCCCTGGTCATATTAAAAAGTCCACCAGTGTTTTCTTCTTTGTCTTTGTTCGTGTAAATCTGGACCGGGGAACACTCAACAGCTATGTGGCAGAGACAAAGTGAAACTATTTTTAGGCCATACATGTGGAGTGGAAACAGGGTCCTGAAGGAACCTCTGACTTCCTAGCGTTTTACGAGATATTTGTCAAACATGCTGCTCTTTCTGTTATGCTTCCGTGACACTTTGATTACATTATCCAACCTCCCTGTAGATTAGCAGCCTTTGGCAGACACTGGGGTAGTTGGTTGAGCTACAGTCTCATCCTTTCTTTGAACTTATAGAGAAATAGTGTATTATTTTGTTAAAAACTTTAAATACATGAAGGCGTATGATGTAAGTTATTTGACTTTATACACCTTATGCTAGTACCTAATGTACTACATTATTTATTTATCAAAAGACAGAAATGTGCGTCCTGTTTTTGAGTATGTGAACTACTATAGTTACATATGCTTCTTATTATTATAATGTTCTTTTGCCAGTATTATCAGAGGTTACCTTGGAAAAATTATAATTTAAAAGACATATTTAGGTGTTTTTATTGAGCCACGAGCAGGGCTTATGTCTTTTATAATATTTCTAGGAATTTGAGTCGTCTTGAGGCTGATTGTGATTCTTTTTTTTTGCTAAATCAGTCAGAATATACTATAGATATCAGAATATTACGAGATTTGAAGAAAACAACAACAAATAAACAATAAAAGACATATTGTATTCTCCATCACAATTACATACCTGGTAATGTAAAGACAGAAAATACACTTTAACTGTTGAATGAATAAATGAAATCTGAGATGTTGAGTTTCTTCTGTCTATAGGCTTAAAGAATTTGATGAGAACTGTCGAATTCACACATGCAATAAGTGACGTCAAATTCTTGACATTTGTTGTTTAAGCAGAACATATTATTTACAGTGATGAAAGTTCAGTTTTAATGTGGTAAAATGCCTAAAAATATTGTCACTTTCTCTTAACCTGTATTTTAAGAACTACTGAGACGGTATTGTACCATGTCATTCACACTTTGCAACAGGAACTGTTTATTGCCATTATTCACCTGCGGATGGTGCTAGTTTCTTTACATTTGGTACTGAAATATAAATGGTTGTTTACAGTTAAACATTTTGTGACTGTATGAGTGTTTCATGTTGTAATGTTACATCAACTCAGCAGTTGCTACAGCTAAACAGTACTAATTTAAGCACTGCCTGTGTTAAAGTGTTAACTTTGTCATCAGCTCTGGCAAATCGAAACAATGCTCAACAGTACGCTCTTATGTTCCTTTCACCTACCTTATAAACATCAAGCTCTCCACAGTGGTGGTCAAACCTGGTGTACAGCTCATTGAGCATGGTGATCACTTGCATCGGGGTACAGCGTGAGCAAACAGCCGTGAAACCCACAATGTCAGAGAAGAGCATTGTAACTCGCTCAAACTTCTTGGCCTGGACTGTTTGGCCCTGCCACAGCTGTTGTGCCACTGTGCCAGGGAAGATGGAGAAGAGGAGGTCCACCGTCTTCTTCTTCTCCTCCTCCAGTGCTTGGTGAGCGTGCTCCAAGGCTGCCTTAGCCTTCCCCAGCCGCTTCTTCAAACCGTCTTGGGCTTTGGCCTGTTCACCAACTAGCACCACGTCACGCAGTGCGTTATGAATAGGGATGTCTGACAGGTAGAGGCCGCGGCCTGTCAGCTCCTCCAGCTTGTCCACACATGGTGAGCCCAAGAACAAGATGGCGTTGGACTCTGAAACGTAGATCATCTGACCTTTAAGGTCCATGAGCTGAAAGGAAAAATTAGATTAAATGAATTAGATGATGAGAAAAGATGAAAAAAGAGTTTGGTAAACTTAGTTAGAATCTAAAGGGCCTAACTGTCCATGTAAATCAATGACTTTGTTTTTTGAAAGGCGATTGATTAGGATTACTGTGTAGGCTACATACTGGAGCCCTATTATTTATTTAAGTACAAACAATAATGTTTTTCCTTCAGTGGAATCTGTGCAATTGTAAATATATAATGTATACATACATAAACTTCCTCAATACATGCTGTATATAGAGATTTAAATGTTTGACATAAAGAAAAGCAAACTTCTCATTTGTGTGGTATTTATAAAAGGGCAGCTATATGCAGCTGCCTGTCAGCCTCAACAGTAAACAAAGACAAAAGGATTATTTATGTCCCAGTGGAACAGAAATTGTAAAAACAAAACCATACCATCTAACATAAGAACATTTTTCACTGTCCATGGTCGAAATGTCTCAACAACTATTGGAAGGATTGCCATGAAATTTGACATTCATGGTTACCAGAGGATGAAACCTGCTGACTTTGGTGACCATGAGGTTGACATTTGTGCGAAACGTCTCAATAACTGTTGGACTTCCATGATTTCATGAGGTCAAATTTGTAATTTAAATTATTTAAATAATAAACGTTGTGTCTACAGCATTAGCATACTAATACCTTAAACTAATATGATTAACACGTTACTTTGGATAACTGGAAGCACATACGGATTAAGTATTAAAACCAAAGACTGTACTTTAAGGTTCATATAGCTTTGTACAAACAGATACTTTCTACCCTCTAACTTGTATTATTTTTTTGGCACCATATGACTGCTAAAGATTAAAATAAATATTTTTACCACTCTAACAGTTTGGTTTCCTTATGACAGCCTCACAGAGCCACAAGCATGGCTATAAACTTTTGTGAAACGTTATAACAACACTAGCTATCAGTTGAGAGATACAGCTACAGGAGTATTTTTGAAATATGCGAATTAATGTTGAATGTGTCACTTCTGCTGACCTTTCAGTCATGTTTGTGCATAGCGCACTTGTCAGCTGAGTAAACATCATAAATCCCAGATGGAAAAAGACTGAGACACTTGCTTTATGCTCACTTTTACCTGTTTAATTGGACTCTGTAGCTAAGCATCTCTGACTGAATGTCATTAGTCATCATACCACTGCCATGTTTACTCACTGATACTTTTTTTTTTCTTGTCATGGCGACCAATTGCTGTGCACCCTCACATAAATAGCACGAGCATGGCTGTGCCTTTGATGGATGAAATGGTTTGACATTTGCTTCTGATCTCCATTGGGGGTATAATGTTGATCTCTACCTCAGGCCAAGTGCACCCAAGTCCGCCACTAATAAGCTTGACTGCTTATGAACAGCCTGATTTTTTTTCTTTCTATCTCACTTGATTTTATATGAAGACATGACCGGAAGACCTTTTCTGCCTCATTAGTCAGTGATGTCACTTTTCAAGTTATATGCCCCAGATACATTGAGATACCTTTCCCGTGTTATCTGTGATGGAGACTCCATGCTTGATCCGAATGATAAACTGTGTGTTCAGCATGGTCAGAATACCCTGAAAGGTACATTTGATCTGGGGGGAAACAATAGAGAAGTGTTCTTGGAAGGTAGCAGACCGCCTCAGTCCATCCTTCCTGATCAGTCTCTTCCTGAGCCCATGTCCTATTTGTATCAGAACCAAGTCCTGGTCCAGGATCAGATGGAAAGGGAAGATGGTGGAGAACAGAGAGGTAGGAAGGGTCCCAGCTGAGGTAGCCCGCAGCGGACTGGGGCTCAGATTTTTAGCATCCTTAACTACAACTGTGTACAGAAGACTGGGCTGCGGGCTGGACTGCAATATGCTGTCTTTAGCACTGGGGGGGTCCATCAACACATCCACAGTGGTGTGATACAGCAGGCGGGCAGCAGCTTTGATGACTCCAGGGAAAAAGAGCTCAGTGGTAGGGCGGGGGTTGAAGAAATAGACAGTAAGCAGACCCAGATCCTTGTCTAAGCACAGCACCGAAGGTTCGTTTACACAATCCTCTCTGTCCGGGTTGGGCAGCGTGCTGCTCTGTTTCAACAAGACATTGAAGCTGTTGAGGAAGTCGTGGAGAGCTCCCCCCACCACCCTCAAAATGTGTCCATCCTCCTCATAACACATGTTGAAGAGCTCCTCGCCAAGAGCTACTCTCAGAGCTTCCATCTGGATTGCTATGTGAGAGGAAACAGGTGAAGATGTGAAGCCCCATTACACACATTTATTTTAAAAATAGAAATATTGTATCTTATTATTTGAGCTTCAGATTTACCTGTTTTGGTCGAGTATATGTTCATCATTTCTACTAAATGCTCTGGTTCATCACTGCAACTCTGATAGTCGGTACAGCAAATTATTGGACTGAGAAAGACAAGAAATGTCAAAATCAGACACATAAACCAGTGCTCAGTGGACCGTATTTTTTGTTCAATTACTGAAATACATTAGACCAGAGGAACGATATTTTTAATATCAGTTAATCTGCCAAATATCTTCCCCATGAATCAGTGGTTTTGCCAAGAAATAAAAGTGAAATATTATTTCTCAAATTTCCCAGTGTCTTGTTTGTCTGACCAGCAGTCGAAAACCTAAAGATATTTAGTTTAATATCCAAGTATGGCCAAAGAAACAGCAAATTTTCACATTTGAAAAGATAACTTTGATCAGCCAGTCGCCAAATTGTTTTAGCTCTACATCGGACTGTGATTACACTGAGAACAGTATGGAGGATGTTTCATTGTCTGTGTTTTTCAGTAGATTTGTAAGGGATTTCTCTCTATCTCGGGGTATCCATAGCAGCCTGAGTCTGCATTGCACATCACTGTTGTTACCATCATCAGTATCAGTCTAGTATGAGAGTAGCAAGAGCAATTCGTAAGAGCTCTTATAGCTAAACAGAGGTTCCAAATGAGGTATAACATCTGTAACATAATTACTGCTATTAGGATACATACTGGGGTACTGTAGTAGTAAAGGTCTATAATTTACAGCAGCTGTAGTAGTAAATGCAGCAGTCTAAGAGAAGTAGTGTTGTTGTTATTGATGTCTTAGTAGCAGCTGTACTTAAAAAAAACACGAGTTACCTTTCAGAGTCCCTGGTGTGATCTGATAGTCTCATCATTCGTTGGAGGGCAGTGTGCAGCCTTTGAAACTGTATGACAAAGTGTTGAGCGAGTTAAAGGTCATCGTCTGGCAAGACTTAACAGCAGCTTTAATTACAGAAGCGCCCACAAATTAAAAACATAGAAGCAGGATCACCATATCTTCATCTCAAGTGAATGTCTGTGCGTTAAAGCAGACGTGCGACAAACACAAATTGCATTTTTTTTTCTCACCTCTCATAAATCTATGTAAAACATACTGTTGTTGCATGAGGTGAATATTATTAAATGTATTTTAACTCACCTCGGGACATGCCAATTTTCGTATGCTCTCTCCAAGTGTATGCAGGTTAACTTTGGCTCTGCTTGTCTTCTGTTGAGGTAGATCCTCACCTATTTTTCCATGCACGTCCCTAGAAATAGGCAATAAATCCACGGCGTCAACTGAGCTCTCCTCAAAGTCTCCGAGCTCATTATTCTTGGCGCTGCTGGAGAATGGACACTCTCCTGATATCTTCAGTTCTTTCAGCTTCGCGCAGAACATCTTCTCCGCTGTAGTCTCCCGGCTCTTCTCTCTCTTATCTAATTTCGGAGGGAGACAGTCCTGGTCGAGCAGCGGCTGCGGTCTCTGGGAGAAATTCCATCATCTGGTTGCTTGCTGCTCATCCAGGATGCCTTCCTCCTAGCGACGCGCTGATTCAAATGATCAGCACCAAAAGCCAGAGAGACCACATGCAATATTCATTGAAAACTGCACGGTGCAAAAATGATGGCAGGGAACTATCATTACCAAAAGCCAATGAGAAACTGGAAAAAAAAGAGCAGTAGGCCAATCCTTGCGCAAGTGGGGCTGGTGTGGCTGAGCAACCTATCAGCAAGGAGAAATTATTTCCAGGCGACTCCTCGCATGCTATGCACTTTTTTATTTAGATCAGCCTTTGGTCTGGGTCCCATCATATGAATCTGGTCCCCACATAAAATAATAATCATATTTCCATTATATTCACACATGACATTAAGTGTAGGCTACGTGTCTGTTGTGCTCAACTGTGTGTTTGTCGTCTTTGTACTGTATTCTTACAGAATAGTTCTGATTGTGATACAATGAATATTGTTATTTAACTAATATTTCATACTTTTGTACTATTTCACGCACACACACTTACAGACACATAGCCATACATTACAACTTCCCTGCTGAATTACTCTTGTAAAATACCTTTAAATTGACTTGTCTGATGTTTAAGATCATAAATGGCTTATAAAAGGTTTGTGCTTTTATTATCCAGAGAAGATTAAGCAGCAGGTCCACAAGGTCTTCTCTGAGAGGGGACACTAAAAGCCCCTTCAAGAGCTCCTTCAACGTCTTGCTGTCAGTTCAAGAGTTTCTCAAATGTGAAGTCTTCTGAATTGTCTGAGTCAGACATATGAATAGTCCTAATCCACAAAATATGTTTGCTATTTACCATCTTTTGTAATATTATTATCTGTAGGGCTGCTACTAATGACAGCAAATTATTTTTGCATTTTTCCTTTAAAAATGACTTAAAGTGGAACTCCCTGATTTCACACATCAAAGTGTGTTGTCTTGGAGTATATACTACTGCATATGTAAAGTTGTATAAAGCCTTTTGTTGCTCCAGAGGAAGCTGCTCAATGATAAATTGCCTCGAGTGATGTCATTTGAGTCAGCATTGTTTGGGGCTGAAGACTAAACGTTTGAAAATGACAGAATGACAGTGTAGTGTTAGGAAGAAGTGAGATTACCCGAACTCTGTAGCTAGCTCCTCATCTCAGTTTAAAGATAGGGTACATTACCTATCAAGGGTACATTAGCCACTACTAGCGTAACACATCCGAATCTCCAACCAATCTGTTGGAGGTTGAGTTGCATTGTGGGAAATGTAGGTGCCAGGTTTTGACAAAAAAGAAGAATGTGTGGAAGTAAAAAATTCGATATCTCTGGATCTTTTGCAAAGGTTTTCTTGTTTAATTGTCCATCATGAGTCTCCTTTAAATAAATAATCACTCGATAATAGACTTATCATTTCAGCTCTATTATTTAGGTCCTATGCTTGCAGCTGTCAGATGGCCTGTTTTGTATGGCTTGGTTATGTACTTCATAGGCATATTTATTGGTATTTTATCAACTGTTAGCATTTCGTTCAGATTAGGTTGTGAAAATGTGGTTATATTTCTCATCCTTTGCTTGATATTGCTTTGCATTGCTAGAATATACTTACTGGTTGGTTGATATTGTGATTGCACCAGTGTTCTGCTGCTTTCTGTTGTCCTGCCATAGTGTGTGCACCATCGTAAGGACCATTTTGATGCTGTTGTTGTATCTTTGGCATCTTATGCTGTTTGTTAATGAGTCACTTCACCAAATTTAGAACATACCACCAAAAGTTTAAAAATGCTGGCCAGCTAACACTGGCACATTTACAGAAGCATTGATTAATGTGCTTTATCCCTATAAATAAAGCTAAATAAAAGCTAAAATAGCATTCACTCCAATATTAGAACATTTTCCACACTAGCATGTTTCTGTAAGTCTTTTTATATGTTCTTATATGTCATAAAAACATAGTGTGAGTTTAAGTGAATCACATTTGTTTGTTCTTGCAGAAATGGTTCAGTGATGATTAAACATGGTGGATAATCATTTATAAAACTCATGTCTAAAATAGATTTTATCGGCCATGATGAGGCTACAGCACAGCTTGTTGGCCTTGTTTGGTCTGAAAAGAGCATTTTCATTGTCTAACATAATAAATCCATTTCAGAGCTTAAATAATGAACAGCTTTGTCAATTGGGAATTTTCTAATTTCTCTCTGGACGAGCGAGCTGCTTACATTGGCTGTCTTTCAAGAACAAGGCCAAGGATGTTGCTACTACATGACAACAAAAAGTTTATAGGTCAGAGATTAAAGGGGGAATCCTTTCATTGGGCTGCAGGGTGGCCAAAATTAATGCCGTTCATTAAACTGTGCTTTTGTTTATACGCTGAAAAAGTGGCCATTTTAAAATGTGCAGGTTATTTTATCTGTTACACTTTTGTGGTGTATTATGTTAAATAATGAGGCTGTGGTCATTAAAGACTAAATAAGAAAGTTGCCCTGTGACGAATGTTTAAAGTTGTTTTTTTCAACATAGTTCCTCATACATCTATTGTATAAAATAGTGTAAATACAAAACCAATGTAAATCACAAATGTATATGTCTAATAATATATTTAATATCTCTACATGAAGAGAGGAGACAAAACTGTTGTGCACTAGGGTGTTTGAACAGTGCAAGGTGCTGAAATTATGTCTGTTAAATAGCACATAAATCAAAAAACAAATTCATTTTAATTTAATGAAATAAATTCCCCTTAAATGGGCAATGACAAATGGCGGTGGCAGTCAATCAGAAATGGTGCAAAGTTTAAATCATTTTTCTATCTTAAAAGCCTACAAGGTATTTGCTGACTCCTGGTTTAGGTTGTTGGACTTCTTAAATATAAAATATTTGGTAGAAATCATGTGTGTACTGTCCTGAGCACAATCTCCTTAATTTGCAGTACACTTTAGAGGAGGGATTTAGGGGAAGTTCATTGAGCTCTTGCTTTATGATCTTACGGTAACACAACCTGTTTTGATCTCGTCGTCAGTAGAAGAGAGGGCTAACTTACTGCATGTCTTCAGATGTAAGGGTCCTGTCAAACAATCCTTCTTTTAAAGGCCAACTCACTGAGCTTAACGTTAGCCAAATGAAAGACAACTTCTTTTTTTACAAGCACATTTGCCTAAAAGTTTGAGATGATGAAGAGCAAATAAATTAGGCGAGTTAATGTCTTTGTTTTTGCTATTTTTTCCTAATGCATGCTTATTTAAATTTTACAGTGAAATACTGATGTCACTGCATGACAACATCACTCAGAGTCAATCTTTCTCATTCTATGTGACAGAAATACACAAGATTTCCTCTTTCAGTGTTTTTCCATCCACAAGGCTAATGCAAATTAACCGCAGTGACGTCTTGAAGCAAATCTAGCAGGCTATCCTCAGGTCTTACTGACCCATCTGCCACCACAGAGGTGACAGCTGTTGTTGCCGCCTCTCACCAGGACCCAGAGGAAATGGCACCAACCGCGCTGGCAAGAACAAACCTCTTTGTCATGATTATCTACAACATGAACCTTCTGATTTGTGAGACAGTTAATTAAGTTTAAGGACAGACAGTAAGGACAGAAAAACTCTTGTAGCAGCATTCTTGGCTACAAGACTATTGTATTTTCTCAGAGGTGAAGAGGAGAGTCAATGGAATCTGAAGGATCTGTCCTACAAAATTAGAAGCACTGACCCACAGTGGAGGCTGGACTGAGTATTAGCAGAAAATGGTTGAATCATATCTCTCTGACCCTCCTATGCAGGTGAAGGACAAAACTGAGGATCTGCATCTACAGAAAGAGGAGGACACAACATCTTTATCCACCTACTGCTCACATAATTGAGCCAAAGTTGATTATGCAACTCGTCCTTCACTTGTTGCTGTTATATAGGCCGTTTTTCGTTAGCTGTGCTTAAAGTTTGAATGTCGAGATGTGGGGAAGGAGGAGGCAGCTTTCATTCAGGGCTATAGGGTAACTAGAAGAGGTCCTGAATAAAGCAGAAAACAAAATATGAAGTGTCTTAAAGAAGCAAGACAGTCAGACAGCTTCTCTGTTATGTAGAATCAGACAGCTGTGGAAGAAGTATAGATCTTTTATTTAGGTAAATGCTACTGTACAATCTAAAAATACTCTGTGACTAAATATCCTACATTCAAAATCTTGCATAAGTAAAAATACACATTATGCACCTCTCAGTGTTGTATTATTATATATTATATTATTTTATTATTGTTACTAATGCATTACTGTGAAAGTAGCTCTTGAGATTAATCTACTATTGGCTATGTATTGTCTATGGGGAAGTTTAATATGTAAGAGGGCATATTTTACACAGTGATTATAATGTGTGTACAAATCTGAATCTTCAGCGTAACTAGTAACTAAAGCTGTGCAATAAATGTAGTGGAATAAAAAGAACAATATTCCCCTTTGAAATATATAGTTGAGTAGGCATAACATAATATTATGTGGAAAAAGTATGAGTAAAATTACCCTTCAAACTGTACTTAATACAGTACTTCTAACAGTAACATACAATAAATACCCATTTGGGCAAAATCTTCTCTCGTTCTATCTTCTGTTTGTTTCTGAGATGTTGTCCTGGGGTGAACACATTAGCAATGGGTAATGACTGAGGATCACCACCGAAGCCCCCACTCATGCCTCAGAGATTGTTGTGTTGTGAAAAGCTAAGGTCATTTGATATCCAGAAGCAAAATATGTGTATGTTACATTTCAGTGTTAATTACCCTGCAAGTTCCCTGCTGATTGTGGAAAAGATGATCTATTTAATAATAATAATAATAATAATAATAATAATAATAAATAAAAACAATGTTTGTGCTCTCTGTCTTCCCCCCATAAATGTATGTGTGTAAGGATGTTT